CAGTTTTCACAAGATTCTGCCATTTTACAGTCCTAAGTCAGATTAACCCAATCTGCAGTTTCATACCCTATTTCTTCAAATGTTAATGTTGTTCATTTTATTATACTTGTATATTATTAATACATATAATGGGAAGTCATAATGTTTTAATTATCACCATGAGAAAATCATAATTCCAAAATATTGTTCTATATAGGAGATAGCCCGTTTCCTGAGCTTGCCAAACAGTCGAATTTGCCCATGCCAAGTGGACAGAGGGAGCCACCGGAAGAGGCAGAAGCAAAATGATGACGTTGGTTGAGAAAGTGGAGGCTCGTTCTGTGATATGGTTCCTGCATTTGCAAGGGAAGTCTGCCAGGGAGATCTTCGAACAAATGACCTCTGTGTATCAAGAAGGTGTACCATCATATGACACAGTGGTCAGGTGGAAGAGGCACTTTCATTGTGGACAGACAAACCTCAAAGATGAACCCCGAAGTGGAAGACCACATCTCGCTGAGGAGCCAGGAATTGTGGCACAGGTGGAAGCTTTGATCCTATCCGATAGGCACATAACTATCAAAGCTATTGTTCATGAGGTCTGCATTAGCCATGGATTGGTTTTCAATATCATCCATGATGAGTTACACATGACAAAGGTCACTGTGCATTGGGTGCCACGTTTGTTGACACCAGTTCAAAAACAGCAATGGACGAATGTGGCAAAGAAACTTTTGCAGTTGTGTCAAGACAAAAAGGTGGAATCTTTCGACCACCTGATCATGATGAATCAATGAATGTTGGATTTATCATTATGACCCTGAAACAAAGGAAATGAGCAAGCGGTGGAAACATGCAGACTCATCGCCACCAAGGAGGCCATATCCCAGCCATCGTCAGGAAAAGTGATGTTGAGCATGTTCTGGGATTGGCAGGGTGTCATGATGACCAACTACACGCAAAAGGACACCATCACTGGCGAGTACAACCAGAACCTTCTGAGAAAATTATGGGAGGAAATCAAGAGAAAGTGACGCGGAATCCTGGGAAAAGGTGTGCGACTTCTCCCCCATCCACCACATTCACCAGACCTGGCACCAAGCAACTTCTTCCTCTTCCCCTGGCTAAAGAAGCCTGTTACGGACCGATTTTGAGATTGGAAATTTAAGGCATTACCAAAATGTTCGAGACTTGTGAAAAGTGTTTTACAGCCATTACATTAGTATGTCAACACCTTGACAGGCAACTAGGTTAAGAATGTAGATGATCAGCATTTATGCGTAATCACATAAGTAAGAAGCTCTGCTAACGGGGCCACTGGAGATGGTAATATTATTATTTACGCAGTGATGAGATACCATGGGCCCACCCACAACCACACGGAATAGCCAATTAGAATATAACTTTGGAAATTGAGGACAACAAGGGGAGTTAACTTCCCTCTTTCGTCCACAGCCAATTCAGCAAGTTAAAAGATATAAATTACTGAATTTAGGAGACTTGTGATCTGATCCAAAAACATAATATTGAGTTGTCAGCCGGAGGCTCTCTTCAATATGGGCCTTACGAGCGGAGGCAGTGGGCCTGCATCTTTTTATTCCAAGTAAGTCACATTTACTCATATAAGCCATGTTGTTAAATATTATGGTTGATAAAAGTGTGTGGAAAATAACGAAAGCTAACTCCAGTGTGCTCGGCGAGCCCTTAGGGGAGAGTAATAATTATGTAACAAGTAATTGCCTAGGGAGATAGTCCAGCAATATGTCTGTGTTATGGTGTATGTGTCAAGATTACTGGTAGTGTGTAGTGATAAATATAGTATGTGGGCTTTTAATATGTATAACTAAGGGTAAATTATGTTAAGGGAAAACAGGAGGAAGTGTAGGAAGAAGTAAAGACCCTATGTAGACCCGACTGTAGGTCGGTCTTGTTAATATTGTAAATAATGTAAATAAGAGTGTAAATAGACAGGGTAGTTAGAGCAGGATGTACAGGGATTGTGATTGACCCCATAATCACCCTTCCACGACCGATCCCGAGGATCCTGCCAAAACAAAAGGCAGCAGCAGCCAAATGCTTAAGGGGAGGTACTAGGAATGAACAGGGATAGGCACCTGCCACGAAGGCAGCGTTTAGTAGCCTTGGTATCAACGCCCCCTTAAGAATAATAATACTGTAATACGTTGCAACCTGCAGACTATATGAAGAGTTGTCAGGAGAGAGCTATGACTATATGTCAGGGGGTAGTTCCCACCCTAGAGATGACAGACGATAGGTAGAGGCGGGTCAGACCTGACACGCCCGCTCTACGCCAATAATAAGAGGTGACAGTGATGAAAGGGCCAGCCCACAGAGGACGCTCGACTACCGCGCTACCGGCCCTTAGTACCTTAATCACCTCTCTTAGAACATAAAATAGATGGTGGCAGCTTTAAGTAAGGAAGGAAGCCCAGAAACAGGAGTAGCCTAGCTGAGGGTAAGCCAGGATTATTGTGTTAACTCCTTACAGCGTAAGCTGTGGTGGCAAGGAGAGGTACCTCCACGCCCCCCTGCCACCGCGGCGTTACAAGTGGTGGCAGCGGTGGGATACCTCCACGCCCCCTGCCACCACGGCGTTACAAAGCCACTTCATGCTAAGCAATTCCAAGACAATGATGTTATCATTTCTGCAGTGGAGGACTTCCCAAACATTCAAAATGAGACCTTCTATGATCAAGGTATCCAGCAGCTAATTCATCGGGGAAAATGTGTGGCCTTGCAGGGGCTATATGTAGAGGACTAACTCACATACAGTTTCTTGCACCCGTGTCTCTGTTTCTTCTGGGTGATAATTAAAATTTTATGACTTCCTGCACATATTAATATAATTTATCCTAATATTATACTGTCCACTAAGCGTACATCTTCCAAGTGGTCTGTTTCCTGTACTGTGTAGGCCTACAGGGTGTCACTGCCCATTAGTTTCTGACCACACTGTGTGGCATGTGTCTTCCACCTGCTGTCACAATAGTTTGACCATACTTAGAGCAGGCTGGCGACCCCATTCTCTCATTTTAACCTCACTTGACTTAGCACAAGCACTAACACTTGACTGTGTCTGGGATCAGGAGGATCATCTGTTCTGGATGTGGACTAATTCAGTTCAGGCCTGTTTTTATCTGTCATGCATGCTCCATACCTATCTTATCCTAAATGATCTGATCATTCTACTGATATCTTGCAAATACTGCAAGCTCCCCATTGTACCATTCCATCCTTCCCCGTATTACTTGTACTTCCTCACTTACAGGCCCAGATCTTCTCATCAACACCTTGTCTTCCCTTAAATCCAGTGTACACAGTGCTAACTCTGCTACAGGTTGACTCTAGCATGAGATGTCATACAGTGCTAGCTTTCCATTTCTAAGTTGCAGCTTGAACTGAAAGGTTTACACATGTTTGTAATTTCTTGCAGGTTGTGAGTTTTAACTTGGTCAAACTATGAGCTGTCATTATTTCAGTACAGTACTTTCTTTAATGAATTCAGTTTTGTATAATTTTTAAATTTATATTTTTAATTTGTAAAAGTTTCTTTGTCTTCCATTTGCAATTTACATAAGACTGTCTTGGAAGCTCTTTGTATCCACTGTTGCAACCATCAGTCATCTCTCTTTTATCTCATCAGTTCTTTCCTCAACTGATAATCATCCATGTCCCTCAAATAACTGTGACACTCTGTCTCATGGACTCACTCCTTTTGAATACTAGAGCCGAACTATGTGTGCCTCTCATCAGATGCTACTTCTAGAATCAGATTGTCGCTAAATTTTAACATGACATGAGGTAAAGGTAAAGTTGTCCCTGTACTTAATTAATTAAGCACCATGCCTTGAAGAAGTGTGGGGGAGTTGAGGTATAACTCCAGTATTCTTGATCTCAGCACTAGATGGAGGTAAATGTTCAGCTTCATGCCCTCGTTGCTTTAACCCCAGGGAAAGGGACCTTGCTACGCATTGTATAGGAGGCTGAGTGGACCTCAGAGATGGTCTGGATGTTACAGAGAGGAGAAAAATGTCTTGCCCCTTCCAGAAATTGAAGCCCAGTCGTCCAGCCCATAGCCCATCGCTATACTGACTGAGCTATATGAGCTCATGACATCACATTCAATTAATAAGATGAGAACTGGCACCAAATATACTGAGCTTTAGAGTGAGAAACCAAATTACACACTCATACAAGAAATGGATAAGATATAGTTTTGTATATTTTAACCTTTATGTATTTTGGTGGAAATGAAGAAGAGAGAGTAAAGAATTCTGAACTGAGTGGTAGCAAATATTCCCCAAATTTTGTCTGATCTGTAGTTTTCATTTGCTGCTGTTTTTCCCCTTGATGTTTTAACTTTATCACATTCTCTCCATCTTATTATGTGTATTGTTTTTGCATATCAATTAATTACATTTGTGACATGAACGGCCGTGGGGATTCGTTGTGCTGACCACGCGACTCCCTCTATCTGCTAAAGTTGGCACTGACTTCGCTGACAAGCAGCAGTCACTCAGTCAGAATAGTTTGCTTGTGGACTAAAACCATGGAGTTTTTTTTTTTTTTGTGACGTGATCAGACTTCTTTATTTCAGTTAATGTTTCAACCTGTCAGAACTTTCTATCCCTTAGACTTAACACAAAGTGTGTGTTCACAAGGTTATGGGGGAGGAAGAAATGCTGCGAATGAGAAAATCCAAAATCACCAGAATCTTCTGTTTTATTTTAGTACACAAAACAAAGCGGGTAAAAAGATCTTACATAAAGAATTGTTATGGAGAATAAAGGGGAATCACCATTCTTGCTAGAAATGTGTCATCAGTAACGTTATAATGGTTACTCTTTTCCAGCCACTCTGTTTTGCCATGGGTTAGGCAATAGAACTGTCTTTCTCTGTCTGTCATTGTAGAGTAAATGTATCCTGGCTTTCCCTTCCACTCACTAGACTGTAATGAAGTTTCCCATTGATGTTCATCTTATGTAGTGCTTATGTTTCAGCATAGTGACTGGCCAGGATTATCTGTGTCAAATCCTTTCTCCTTTGCTGAAGCAGCAGTTGTGGTGGTAGTTGATGGGGTGTCCAGCCTCGGATTGAAGGAGGGTCACCACTATCCACTCATCACAGATGAGGATGAATCTGTGATCTGGCAGTCTATGCATGATCGTATCTTGAGCCGTTACCCAGGCCAGAATGCCACGTTACTGAGGATGGATCTTGCAGAGGAGGTGGGGCATGCACATGTTTATTGACAACTTAATACTACTCTTTAAGTGTTTTACTATATACATACTGACCTCTCATTGGAGTATTGTATCCTTTGAAAAATGATGTGTTCTGATATGTGGTACCATGTAAATCTTGTGTGAACTGATGTTTCGGAGGAATGTATTGTCTCCATCTTCATGGTAGAAATGTCATTTCACACAAGATCTACACAGCACTACATCCAAGAAAACGGCATTCTTCGTAGTCACCACTGTGAAAACCTCAAATCTTACATTGTTTTCTTTAATCACATAAGTAGGTGTGAATTTCTGCAGATGTATCACTTTTCATGTTGTCTCCCTCATGTCTTATGGCATGGCAGAAAGCAGTATCCTTCCTAGAAGGGGATAACATGTTAAGCTTTTACATTACTGTGTTTGGAAGATCTGAGGTTCTCACAGCAGTGACTTTGGAGGTCTTCTGGGGCAGATCTGGTAGATTGTAACTGTTGTTTCAGGGGAAAATGCCACAGTCAAGTTTAGGGTAGAACTGTAAGCTGAGCATATAAGAGAATGATACCAATGTAGAGAGGGAGAACCGCTTCCCATTACATCTGCATTCAGTGTATCTGTTCCTTTTTAATTTGACTGTCTCCTTTTGGTGTACTTGCTGCCCCCTGGTTCTGGTCCTGTGTATCTGAACTGTCCCCCCCCTCATGCTTGGCTTACTTTTCTACCCTAAATGTGGAGACATGATGTTCCTGTGAAACATCAGAAACTACCAGATTCTACAGCATCACATCTCAGAAAATACTTATCTTCATGCTAGGTTTCTATCAACCAGAACTGATGAACCAAAATGCCATCACATCTATTATTTGGTTGTGATGTGGTGTCTTTCCATCTCCTTGCAGTCTAATGGGGTGCAGTTCATGCATCACCCACTCTGTAGACAAACTTTATGCTTCTGTCATTTGCGTGTCCCGCCTTTCAGTGTGGAAACTTTGGCTATGTTATTTTTATGATGCCTTCAGTTTTTCGGCTATATAGCCATAAGTTTTACACTACAAACATGTTTTTAGTTGTGAGTTGAAGGTCATGTGATACTGTTGCTAAAAATCTGCAATGCTGAATGTAATTTCTGAAAGTAGATTTGAGCTTGAGAGATTATTCATGAAGTTCTGAAATGGTGCTCTTGGTGAGAATAAAAGCAGTTTTATAATAAATAACTTCTTAATTTATTTTTAAAAACCTTAAATTGTTCTGTATTTTTTAGTTTGAAGGGTAAGTTGTTATGTATTTTTATTCCCATGTTAATTGTAATTTTTTGGCAAGAAACAGTGTTGCATAATTGAACATACAAATCATGTTTCCCTTCTATGTTATACTTATAAATATTGGAATATTGAGTCATATGGATCTTATTCTTTTTATATAACACAAGATCTCAAATATGTATAATGAAGTTACAGTTAAAATCTTAAAATCACCAAACAGACTTCTACAAGAGACCCTGTTATTGACTCCTTTAATAAGTCTTTGACCTTTTTTCTGTATTTAAATACTGCATCACTGCCCCTTACTCCCCTCCCCCAAATATAATACCATAGAGTAGATTCAAATTTTGTAAAATAAACATTTCATAATACAGGTATACTTACTTAAGTCACATAAGGATTTAACCAAAAAAAGAGCTTTGTTTTAACACATTGCGGACCAGTGGTTTAAACATTTAAATCACCCTGGGGACCGGCGTTTTTAAACCTACTACCCTAACTTGTGCACTGTTCACTTTAAAAATTAATATAAAATCTCCTAATTAATTTTATGAACTGAAATTTTTGGAGAACACTTACCAGAGCTCCTAGAAGTGCTTGCGCATGTGATATCTCTGGAAACATTCCCCTTTGTGAAGAGGCATTACGCAGAAGTTGCACATGTAGGCAGTTCTACTCTTCTTCTTGTGCTCTGCGCACACACGGCACTGCCTAGAAGGGTGTTTCTTCTTGCAATATTCACTCTTCACAATTTTCACGAGAATATGTTTCCGCATATCACCCGAGAGTCGGCCAGGGGGGTCTACTTGAGGCCTCTGGCGGGTGCGAACAGATGGCCCCGGCTGCACTACGTCTGTGTCTGACGCAGGTACTGCCGCCACCGTGACGTCAGTAGCCCAAGCTTTTGCCAGTTTCAACAGAAATGCTTTGTATTTCAAAGTAGAATTTCTGTTCACCTTTTTGAAAACCGTAAATGAATTGAAAATTGCACAGTTTATAAGCTACAGTGCAACTTTCTTCGTCCATTTTACTGTTTTCCTAGGAAGGGAATAATAGGCCAAGAACTGGTCGGCCCTATCAACTCCTTTCATGAACATATTATACTCGGAAATACAAAGAGGCTTCTTTACTTGCCCATGTCGTCTTTGAACATCGACCATGCTCGAATTGTGAATAGTGGAAACCATATTCACAATGCGAGTATCCCTCCAGGACTGAAGAAGAATGTCCCCCTTCCGTCAAAGAAACTATCTCCAAAAAACAGTGACGCAACTTCAGACACGTCCGTTGGGTCCGATGGCATCTGCTTCACCCCCGGATCACTAGTAAACTTTCCCAAAGTGGGGGCCGGTGCGTAAGGCAGACAATCTTGCACCCATCTTTGAGCTGATTGTCTAGATATTGTGGGACCCTCAGCGTCCCACAACCTTATAGGCCTTCATGGCCTGTTACAAGGATAGCTTTACTTTTTTTTTTTTTTTTTTTTTTTTTTTTTTTTTTTTTTTTACTTGAGGTATTTGGTTAAAAAGGAACTGTGTGCTCTATTTACATCTGTTTGTAAGTAAACGTCTTCCCATATTTCATTTTTAACTGATTGTTAAATATACATATATATTTCTTTTTGAAAAGACTCTTCTTACAGTTTTCCCTGAATGAACCAAGGGGCATTTAACAGCTGTGTCCATAACTTGGGCAAAATGGTCTGAATACTCTCTAGTTCAACTACCTTTATTGTGGTGCGATAAAATATCTTATTTCTAATCATTACATCAATTAAGAGCTTGAGTTTGTTGTAACTCTCATTGGACATGCAATATTTAATAAACTGTTTGACAACAACAAACTTAGTAAAGCTCTTTGATGAATAATTTCATCTAATAGGTTATATTCCGTGATCCACATATCGCCAAAAATCGTCCCCTTTTCATTACCTTTCTTATAATTTCATCCAATATTCCTAGAAATATTTTTACATCACTGTGAGGAGATGTATATATACAAATTACTATAATTTTAAAATCAACAAATTCGGTAGCAGATATTTCAATTTCTTTATCTCTTCCTAAATTCTTTAAAAAGGTTATCTCCCTAACATTTATTATATTAGAAACAAATTTACATGAACCTCTATGCTTATCTTTACCCCTGCAGAAACTGTCTGCCAGTTTATAATGTTCAGTATTTATATGAAAAAGTTGATCCTTGTGTAGCCAGTATATAGAAAAGCATAAAATATATGGCTTTGATAACCATGACCTGAGCAATGCATTTAACTCCAATAATTTATTTCCCAAACTTTGAACATTATGATATAGAATACTCAAATACTGTGTTTTTTCCTCTACTTGGAGGAAAGACGGTTTCTTGTGGGGAATTTACTGTAAAGAATCCTTACTTCTTTTTAAGGGTTGATGTCTAGTTCTCTCAGACAGTAAGCCAGCCTTTTCCTGTTTCATTGAGTCATCTTCACTATTCATACCATCTTGTATACCTTACTTATTTACACAAATACTCTCCTGAAGCTCCCGAACTTCCTACACATGATTATTCCCATTTAACTTATTGATTACATCACACCTAATCACAAGTGAGGTGAGGATCAGAATTAGTTACACACAGAAAGTATTGGAGGCAAACTTCCCCTTTGGGGTATGGTTAAAATAACCCCCTAACAAAGTTCAGGTTTGGATATAAAAATTTAAGGCAATTAACACATTCACCCCCACATCCAACCAGCATTTGAATAAATTTTAGCAAGTGTATATTGCCGTATTCCACTTAGGTTGGACAGCAGCATATGCAGACAGATTCCTATCTTGTCATACTTCACGAGTGAAGTATTTCTGGATTTTACTGGTCAATGAATGCATCAAAAGTACCCTGACATTTAAAAACCCTGGGCTGGGCATAAAAATTACCCACTGAGAGTCTAGTAGCAAATGTGTTAAACATCAATGAAGGTTCATGCCCTTGCTGCTTTACATCTAGGGAAGAAGCCCCTGGTTTGACTTAGAGAGGGTACTGTGTGGGCTACAAATCCAGGCTGGACACTGGAGAAGAGATAAATCTCTTGTTCCTTCCATTTCCTCAGTTATTCAGCCTGTAGCTTGGTCAGCATACTGACTGAGGGACTCTTGCCTGTATTGCGTTATATTCACATGTTTTACAGATATAGTGATTTACATCATAATCATCTACAAAATCATTCTTTGATCTTTTGTTATGGTGCTCATATCCATGTCCTATGTTAATGCAATTTTTCCTGAATATGACTGAAAATTAGGATTCATTCATACACTGAAATCCCTGTTGTGTTATATGAATAGTGTATCATTATTCTTTGTTGTTTAATGTAGGTAATATTTGGTTGTATTTTTCCATAGGGAAAGCCATATCATAGTTTGTTTGGTGATTCTGAGGGTACCCACACAAACTGGACTGTCAGCTACTTGGACCCAACTGTGTCCGAAGATAAACAGTTCCTTGATGAAATGAGGGTACTCAGCAACATTTCAAAATTGGTAAGAAGGGTCAGTGATTTAGGAGCCTGAGGCTTGTTATGAAGGAAGATGCTTAATTGATCAAGGAATACAGAACATTTGTTGACAACAGTGCTGTATTGGCTTCTTAGGTGGAGTCTGGACTTGTATACAGGGATGGCGTGCCTGATGTCTACTGGAAAGTGGTGCGCTCATTGCACCCTGTCATTGATTTACATGGTCCTGATTCTGGGGCTGCCAAAGAAGCGAAGCAAATTCTCCAAAATGTGATACACATCATCAAGAAAGCTTATGTTGCTGCCTACCAGAGCCGGGTCAGTATTTTGACTTGTAGCAGTTCCTTCCCATGCGCCTATATGGAGATGCATGTAGAGTGTATTGCGAGCCATGTATGTGTGTTGCCAGAATCAGCCAGCCAGTTTTCATGACATTTGGTGCAAAGATCGTGTAGTCTTATGAAAAAGTTAAATATTTCCATCCAGTGTGACTGGTTATAAATATTTCAATTATTCATGCCCTTACATGTTTCGGTCTTCAGAGACCATCTTCAGAGGGACACCTTTACATCAATACAGTTAGAAGCCACTATTACAGTACATGTTCTAAAAGTTAAAATATATACATACAATATAAATAATATACAATTGAGTGTAAAATCTAAAATCTCTACAACTACAGCAGCTGTTCCAGTATATTAAAATATTTATAGTTAGTTTGATAATATTATTAGAATTTGTAAACCAAGCTGGTTCTTATCAAACTAACTATAAATATGTTAATATTGTCATGTGGATGGCGCAACAGGAAGTAGGGGTCACGTGAACTCTGTGGTCTCGCAAGTGACGTCACATACCCCCACTCCTTCCATCATTACACCGCACTTGGTAAACACCCCTCCCCCACGGTGACGTAACAGGACTTCCCACTGTGACATAGTAGGGAACACCGCAGTTACTACGCAGCAATAAACAACTCTCGGCAGCGTTCGCAAGCAACGCCTGTAAAGATGGCATTTACGCAACAGTGAAGAGATCACGTAACTGTTTTCTGTGTTGTCAGTTCGAAAGCTATGTAACGAGGAGAACAGGTAACCAGTCAGATGGAGTCTAGCGTTCACCAGAGTGAAAGGAAGCAGAAGACGTAATTGTGATACTGTACATGGCAGTAGTGGTGTAATTGTGAGAGTGAGTGTTCAATAAATTCGCTACATTCGATACTGCGTGAAGTTATTTGTCGCACATTATACACCCAACATGTGACAGTTTGGTGTCAGAATTGGTTTACAAACTTGAACACACCTCAACTAATAATCGAATTTATGAGTACATTGAGTGTTATCCTGCAAAAAGAAAATGGACACACAGCAGATGATGGAGATGGAAAAATTGTTTGAGCGCCTAGTGGTGAAAATGAATGCTGATAGAAAGACTGACAAAGAGGAAATACTGAAAAATATGGATGAATACCAGGCTAAGACAGACGCCATTTTGCTGGCCATGCAAATGATGGAAACCAGCCACAGGGAAATAGTGGCCGAAATCAAACCCAAAATGGACGTAAAGACGATGGCCTGCCAAGAGATGGAGGAACCTCTAGAAGAAAAAGAGCAAACCTCAGTGGACAGGAAAACTGAGGTGGCCCAACAACGAGAGGTCCCCATAGAAGACACCACAGTGATGCCGGTTGGAGAACTGAAGAAGAAAAGGCGTAAGGACTGAAACCTGGCCGCGGATCACCGCCGCCAGATGAATGAACGGACCCAGTGTGAGGATGGGTGCTGAAGAAAAGGACTGGCCATCGCCAGGAGAGAGACGAGCCGCCATGTGAAAATGACACAGCAGACTAAGAAAAACGACAAGAAGATGCCCCACCGTGCAACAGTGACACGACTCAAAAAAGACATCCTCAGGGTGAACAAGACCCAGGAAAAGTGTCGACCACGGAAAGAAGTGGCCGCTGAGAGAATCAGGATGACCCGCCACGCAGGAGTGGCATGGCATAGGAGACACAAGGACAGGGACAATGCTGCAGCAAGATCCCAGAAAAGGCAAGAGCTCCAGAAGCGACGTCGAGCACACCCAGGAGACAACAGAAGAATAAGGAACCCATTCCTAGGAGCATGAAGACATTACACGAGGCCCTTGGACAAGCTCTCGAGTCGGAGGGCATGAAGGGAACCATCTGGATTTCCAGTAGATTAAGAGAGGTGAGACACTGGACACTGTGGAGAGGTCGACCCCCTCTGAAACGGAAAAAATGGAATAGCACAGAGGAAGAGTCGGTAATGTAGAAGCACCGGTCTCCCCAACGAGAGTGAATGAGCGATGAATGAATGTGAAACAACGGATTGACGAACGCTGGACCATGGAATTGCTCGGGATGAACAATCCTAAGAAGGGAGCAGAGGATGTAACGGCTGGAGAATAGTCGCTGCAAGAGGAGTAGCCGAAACAACAGGAGAGACAGCAAGCACAGTAACAGGAAGAAAAAGGAACGGGGATGTACCGTTAGGCTGTTCAGGATGAACAACCTTTAGAAGGGAGCAGTGCAAAATGGATGGTACAACAGGAAGTAGGGGTCACCTGAACTCTGTGGTCTCACGAGTGACATCACATACCCCCACTCCTGCCATCATTACACCACGCTCAGTAAACACCCCTCCCCCACGTTGACGTAACAGGACTTCCCACTGTGACGTAATAGGGAACACCGCAGTTACTACGCAATAAACAACTCTCGGCAGCGTTCACCAGCAACGCCTGTAAACATGGCATTTACACGACAGTGAAGATATCACATAACTGTTTTCTGTGTTGTCAGTTCAAAAGCAACATAACAAGGAGAATGAGTAACCAGTCAGTTGGAGTCTAGCATTCGCTGGAGTGAATGGAAGCAGAAGACGTAATTGTGATACTGCATATGGCAGTAGTGGCGTAATTGTGAATTGTGTAATTGTGAGAGCGAGTGTTTAATAAATTCACTATATTCGATACGGCGTGAAGTTATTTGTCGCACGTTATACACCCAACACGTGACAATATCTTGGAACAGCCACTTTAGTTGTAAAGATTTTAGATTTTACGCTCAGTTGTATATTATTTATATTGTATGTATATATTTTAACTCTTAGAACATGTACTGTAATAGTGGCTTCTAACTGTATTGATGTAAAGGTGTGCCTCTGAAGATGGAAACATGTAAGGACATGAATAATTGAAATAAAAAAAAATCTTAACCATTCACACTGGACAGAAATATTTAACTTTTTCATAATATTATGTGTGATGGACCAGAATGAAACAAATCAAAATCATGTAGTCCTTTAAAAGTCACTACCTTCGGTGTTTTGTGAATTAGTTAGCACTCCTGTTGTCTCCTGGGATGTGATAACACGAAGTCTGGTACATCATTACAATCTATGTAACTGTTTACCAGACTGTAGACAGTGTCACATCCTAGAACACAATAATCTTTGAAATTTTCTACTTGAATACCTCAGATCTCACTTCTGCTTTGTGTTTAGGAGGCAAGTAGTTAAAATTTTGACAAGCAGGAGACTGCTTTAGAGGTTTATCTTCTTGTATCTCTCTTCATTCTTCCCAAGGCAAATGCTAAATAACACCTTCAAATAGCCACAGACACTCCATTTCATACTCACCTAAATGCATACATAATTTTGTCAGTTCTCATTTGATGTATATGGAGGCATTTGGTAAAGTGTTGTCAAACCAATCCACCAGCTGCCTTCAACAGTAAAGAACACATTGCAGACATTTGAGATGAATGCAGTCATGATCAGAATGGGATCCTATGCACTAATGGATATTCAGGAAACATACAGCTTTTGTAATTCTGAAAATGACATGTGATGAGTACAGAGAATGTTAGAACTACATTTTGAATCTGTGATAACTGAAGAAATATTGGAATTGCAGATATTTATTTTTGTAAGACAAGAGATACAAACATATTCAGATCCTTATACAGAATGTTGTGCAGTTATAAATACAGTCAACTCTCGATTATCCTGGGGCAGATTAACCGGTTTGCGGCTTAACCGGGGCTACTGAGGCTTTTTTGAGGCTTATATGTTGTTTAATATTCATTCACTTTTGTTTCACATGGTGAGTTGTAACACAATTTTCGCACTAGCATGAACCGAGCTCTGCATTCTTTTGTCCTGTTATGCTAACACAATGTTCTAGGGTAGGGGTGAAATAATGCAAGGATTTGTGGAAAGTTTCAAGGACAGATACATCGTCCCAGTTAGTTTCTTTGTATCGATCTTCAAGTGCGTTATCAAAATGTCAGGGTGTAAAAGGAAGCATGTTGTGTTAAGTATTCAGCAGAAAAAGGAAAATGCCATGAAAAAGTAAATGACAGTATTAAATTTTTTTAAGTGTTAAGTGTGAATATTCGTAAAAAGTGTTGGATGTTGTTGAAGACTGTGATTGAAATAACTAATTCATACTTCAGTGTAATGTAAAAAAAGTATTAAATAGGCCATGAGATGACATAAAAATGAGGTTGAATAAATTTAAATACAGGTAGGCCTATAGTATTATGAAGGTACAGTATTACAGTACTACTTTTAATAAAATTTGTCTTAACCGGGTTTTCGATTAATCGTGATTTCCATCCCCACCATTATCCTGGATAATCAAGTGTTGACTGTACACATATGGTAATGACCAAGACTTCATAGATTACATGTACATATGTGATCATGTAAAAATGGTATGAAACATTGAAGACAACTGCAGGTTACATGCTGTTAGATCATGGACTAAATAAAGACATTTTAGAAGAATTACAGTCAGAATTATACAGAATTATCAGACTCATTGGTGACATTGAGCAAGAAAATAGAAGACAGAATATGAAAACAGTATAAGCAAACTCTGTTGAGGTACAATTTGAGGAGCCTGTGGTTAAAGTCTTATTAGAGGGGAAAGCTTGTTAAATGGGAGATGTTAATTTAGACACTCGTAGTCTGTAATTTATTGTCTAAGGGTACATTATTATTATTCATATTTTTTCAGCAGTGTGAAGGAGTATAACACAATATTTTAACAGTACAACTTACTATTCACCATCACAGAAGCACAGGGGCTATTCGGAAAGTGACCTCTGGTGAGCTGTTAACAAAACAAGCAATGAAAAAATGTATTGTATATAAAAAATACACACATACTTAAGCTACTTCTCAACATAGTCACTGCCGGAATTGAGGCACTTGTCATAACAGGGAATAAGTTTTTGTATGCCTCTTGAAAACTGAAATTAACAGTTGTATGGATCCGTTGCCCTGACCACGCGACACCCTCTATCAGCTAAAGTTGGCACTCACTTCGCCAACAAGTGGTGATTGCTTGGTTGGTATAGTGCGCTTGCGGAGTACAGACCACGGAGTTGCAGTTGTTGTGTCAGAGAAGTCTGCCACCTGTGAGCCTAGCCACATTTTGACACCTTACATCAGCTCATTATTGTTGAAGTGCTATGGTCACAACCAGTTCTTCAGATAGGTAAACAGGTGGTAGTCACTCGGAGCAAGATCGGGGCTGTAAGAAGGGTGGTCAAACAACTCCCAGTTGAAATGCTTCAGCAGTGCTCGAGTGCAAGCACCTGTATTCCGAAGCGCATTGTTGTGTAGGAGCGCTACACTGGATATCAGCATTCCATGCCATTTGCTCTGGATGGCTGTATGCAGTTTTTTGTTGTTGTTTTTTGCAGTACACTTCTGATGATATTGTGGTCCTTTGTTGCGTGAATTCCACCACTCCTTTCCTGTCCGAGAAATCAGTTGCCATTAGCTTTCTGGTAGGCAGGCAACGTTTGTTTAAGCTTTTTCAGCTTGTTTAATGATTGTATGTGCATCCACTGCTTTAACTGCTCTTTGGTTTCAACATTCACAAATGAAGCCCAGGTTTCATCACTTGTTACAATGTGATTGAGAAATTCATCACCATCTTTTTTGGTATCATTCTAAAAAGTCTGCCGAAACTGAAGCCATTCTCTGCATTTTGAAATTCATTTCACTTTGTCCACCAAAAATTCCACATGACCAGACCTGGGCTTGAACCTGGGCTGCCGCAGTGGGAAGTCAGCAGCTAACCACCTGAGCTATGGCACATCGTGCGGCCTATTGCACGTTTACTTTCCAAGCTGTTATAGCTGGCAATTCATAAAGGCAGTGGTAGATTCTGAACGGTTCTTATGACGGTATGTAACACTCAGGATTCCTAGGTTTTTGGACTTTGTCCATTGTCCAGTATTGTAAAGAACACAGTGTTTTGGAAACTGAATCTGTTTCCATCCTCAGGTGAGGTGGTAGGAGACACCTACTCTGTTGGATGTCTTAGACCTAATGTCAATTACTGGACAGCCTATGACAGTATAACTACAGGTATATATACACAATGAGATCAGGGTTTGTCAACTAGAGATAATAGGAAAATGTACAATAAAAGTTATGATAATGGATGTACAGACCAGAAACTAAGACAGAAAAAGAAGTCAGAATTAAATGCAACAGACCAAATCCATAAACACCAATGGATAGAAAGAATTTGAAGATTTATGTGTCATAACAGTATATGCCCACTGCTAATGCCATCTGTGGAACCAAAATTTAACCACAGAACTAAAATGATGTAGATAGCCATGAAGAATCTACAGTGGAACCTCGCTTAATGAGCACCTCTCATAACGAGTAATTCGCATAACAAGTGAAACAAATTGTAAAAAAAAATGACTCGCTTAACGAGTGACTTTTCTCATAACTAGTGACGAGAGGGGAAGTCCCGGATTGTGCGCTTGCTACATCAGTCTGTGTTTAGCACTCGTTCCGCTAGCATCTTAGTGTCGCTTGTAATCACACATTTTTCGAAACTTGTGTTCAGACATATTATTTGTGATTTTTTTTTGTGCAAAGTTCAATAACCCTTGCAAAAATATCCCTGAAGAAAAAGCTGCAAAAAGACAGCCATAAGAGAATAAAAATAACCGTAGAAATGAAACGTAAAATCATTGAAAAGTGAGAACGAGGTGTGAGCGTGGCTGATCTAGCACACACATACAATCGGTCTACATCAACGATTTGCAGTATCCTCAAGGAGAAGGAGGTAACAGCAAAGCAACAATCTTCTGGCGCAATAAGAGAAATGCTGAAAGCATGGGAAACTTGCATTGTACATTGAGAAGCATCACCCTAATAAGGCAGTGGCTGTGCGCGCTACACATTTATTTAATGATAATGCTGTGTCGCATTTTCACCAAATTTTGAAGTGTCAGCGAAAGCAAATGTCTCTAGACAGCTTTCTAGTAAAAAAAGAATTAGATATGTATCATAAAAAAGTAATTATTTTTTTTCCTGCAAATCGAATTCGCATTCCAGGTTGGTTCATTCCTCATAGAAGAAAAGATGAAGATGATTCACGCTCCTTAACAATGTATATATAATTTTCTTTGAATAAACGTTATACATAAAATTTTTTGAGTATTTTTTCGGCATAGAACGCATTATCGTATTTTACATTAATTTATATGGGAAAAATTGTTTCGCATTACGAGTAAAATTCTGGAATGAGTTATGCTCATTAAGCAAGGTTCCACTGTATTAGGTCATACTGATATTCCCTATTAGTTGCTGAACTCATTGATGATAAGGGGGATGCGTATGGGAGAAATATCCGAACGGGTTTGGCTGATTTGATTTGTTAAACATACCATATGGGCTGATTCATTGTATTTCCTATAACCACTGTTACTTTGAATATCCTGGCTTCATCCCAGCCTGCCTTCTGATCTTTATAGGCATTTTGGGAAAATTTTTATTTTTCTAGAAAACCCTCTTTGGTATTATGCCTGTATTCACGGAGTTGAATGGTTGGCACTCTTCTTCACAAATGTAGCATCTGCCACATTCACAGAGAATGCCATAAGTTAAATATATTATAAATTAAATAAACAAATCTCTGTCTGCCAGAAAGAAAGAAGAGGTGATGTACATGAATGAAAGGAATAAAAGGAATAAAAGAATAAAAAAGGAAAGTTATCCAGCTGGTGGTATGAAAATAACTGATTTGTATATTGTACAGGTTCTTGTTGCCGTGATCAGCAGTGATGTTAGTCACACACGAAGGACTCGCAGCCTCATGGCAGAAACAGTGAGTACCAGTAAACTAGCCTTCCATTTGTTAGTGATGAGTATAGTCACTTTATGCTGTAGCAGTGAAAAAAAAAATTATCTTTTATTTGTCAGATTATAGTTGCATATCTTTAACCCTTTGGAATGGTTTCACATGTACCATACATTTTGCTGCCAGTTTATTTTGCTCAGCTCTATAGCTGAGGAGCAGAATACTCTGTTTCATTATCCTGTGATGAAATGAAGGAACTCGTGGTTTATATATCAGTGACTTTAGTTGTCATGCAACTGATGAATGAGACTCTATTTTAAATATCTCATACCATAGTCATTGTGGCTGGGCCTTTAATGTGAGCGTATGAAGTTCAGATTTACTGAAGTTTTAAACTAATTTTTGGACAATGATAATGTAGCATGTAGACACATTGCTAGGTAGCGACTGCCACCGCGCAACAGTGCCCCTTGCTGCACAACAGATTCTTAATAAGCAACAGTTGAACAGCAATAGAGGAATAGTGTTTTCTGTGTGGTCCATTCCAAGATGCTATAACTGGGATGCTTTGAAGCAACGAGCCAAGTAGTCAGTTGCGAGTGAGTCTGTGAGGTGAAGACTTAGTCAGTGCAGTTGAGAGCACCAAAGCTGAAGAATCTCCGTTGCTGACTAGTGAAAGCAGACTGAGAAGGTGTAGCATGTGGTGTAGTGATTTGTAAAGTATGAAGAATAGTGATGATGCTGTAATTAGTTGTAGTAACGAGTTGTGTGTACAAATGTTCAATAAATTGAGTCACCAATCCAAACCCTGTCTGTAGTCACACTCCTACAAATGGCAACTGCTGCCACAGGATGAAATGTATATGTCATTTTGGCTATGTTTATGCTGATGAATATAGTACAAAATCTTGTTCTTGTAGTATGTTGTTGTGATTTTATTTCCATATATAATGGCGTCCTCAGTCATTCAGGACTTGTAAAGCAGCTGAACTACATTAGTTTTAATTTCTCCAATATTTCCTCTTGAAATGTTACCCCCCCCCCCCCCCTCAATGAGCAGCAAGTAAATATTGTAATAAAATGTTTTGGTCAGATGATACAGCTGTCATCAGTAAAGCACTTGCCTCTTTTTTTTACAAAGTACATTTCAGTAGTTGTTCTTATCTTTTAATTTTTGGAACCTTGGCCATTTCTGATGCCCAAACTGTGTTTAATAAAACAGTCATATCTCATGAGATTAATGTAATTTGAGTGTGGAGTGACAGCTGCTGTGTTTCTTGCAGGAGAATCAGCAGTCAGACATGAATCTCGCCCCAGAGTACAGCGCAGAGTACCCAGTTATCTTCAACATCATGCTTTGGTTCAGCATTGCTTTTACATTTTCTCTTCTTGCAATTTCATGTGAGTATTAATTAACTCCCCTTGTTTTTTGAGCATAGTTCTGCACTGAAGAACTCCATTTGAGATGGATTGCATAGTTCTGAGTCCTTTTAAAGAGCTGATGTATGGTATTAGAGTTCTAATTATTTTATGGTAGGTATGTATCTTCTCCAGAGTATATAAAAACTCTTAAGTTTTGGTGGGTGCAGCTGTACTTAAGAATTTTTAACTATGCGTATAATTTTTATTCAAAATTGCTAACATATGTACCTAATTTTGTACCACCACACTTTGCCCCCCGCAGTAAGCTGTACTCAACATTAGGCTGCAAAGTGTTATGTAGATTTTTTTGTTTCATATATTCATATTATAGCGTGTATAGCTGTTGCTATGCAATGATTGTGAGAAGAAAGATGCATTGCTTAGTAACAGCCAGTAAACTTTTTGACACTACCCAGGCTATTGCTGGGCAACTGCTCAATAAACATGTTCTTGCAGAAAAGAACACACATACAACAGCGAGGCATTGTTGCACTGTAACAGTGTAAATGGTGTTTTCTATGTGGTTCATGCCAAAATGTTATAAGCAGAGTCAGTTCAGTTTCAGAGTTGATGATTGGCAGGCAGTTTTATGTGGGAGGCTGTGTAGTACATTTATGTTTGGAGTGTGTAATTCAACGAGACTGTCAATAGTTCCTGTGTTAAAATCTGTTGCTGGGGAATGGCTAGTGGGGGCTGTTATAGACTGAGGACACTAGTGTATGTAACAGTGAAATGTAAGGTGTGGAAATAGCAATAGTGTTATAATGACTTGTAGTTACGAGTAGTGTGTGTAAGCAGTCAATAAATCTGATTATCCAAAACCCCATCTATTTCGCTTAGTGGGGGGTGGAGTCCAACTGGGTCCACTCGGCAAAGCGGCCACTGATTGGCCTATTGTAGCCTGCCCCGGGTGATTATGATGATGGAGAATTTTGGTGGAATGAAGATTGGCAGGGGAAACCAAAGTACTCGGAGAAAACCCGCCCCAGCACCACTTTGTCCACCACAAATCCCATTTGACCAGACGCGGCATCGAACCCAGGCCACCACTGTGGGAAGCCAGCAACTAACAGCTTGAGCTATGGTGCTCCCAAAACCCATCCATAGTCACACATACAGGTAACAGTATGTGTTGTTTGTGGAGGAGAGGAGTATTTTATGATGCTGTTAGTATACAGACTGTATAGCATCTAGGGTAAGATTCTGATGATTTGGAAAAGATTTGGAAGTGGTCATGGTCTTAGTTAATGTACTGTTCCAGCTTTTGCCTGGAGGGACCGAGAAAAACCACAGTAAAAGTCCTTAGATTTAAATTGGGCACTTCCAAATTTGAAGGTAGAGTGTTACAGCCTGATTTCTTACACACCTCTCCAAAAGGGAATTTTATTATAAGCCCTGAAATAGTAGAAACATTGGAAAACTATAGAAGGGATGGTCCAATCAGTTCTAAGTGTCAGAATGGGCCAAAGTGGCCTTATCCTTGCCAAAGTAATAGAAGGATCAGCTGGTTTGCTAGAGGTGAAGACTCATGTTGATGGGATTATGTGTATTTGTTATCCAAGAACTTGCTGATGACCTGGCTGTATGAACACCTCAGATTCTAGGAAAGAGTCCCTGCTTTTCTTTGGCTAGTTTGACAGAGATTTTACGTGCAACATGTGCTGACTCTTCGGTGACATTGTCAGTGACCAGCACCTTCACGCTCTTCACAATTTCAGTTAGCATAATGTGAGAATTATGTGTGTTTCTGACCAGAGTGGATTTGGGTTAGATATTGTGTGTCTGAAGTAGCTGATACAAGGGTGTCATCATTGTAAAGTGACATATGTCATGATGTCATAATTTGATAATTACTGCATTTTGCTTTCAATATATTGCGACATATTAGTGACTAGACACGGGGTTTGAATTGGTAATGGGATTTATGGGGCGCTTATAACTACATGTAGTTATAATACTGTTAATAATCTGCACACTTTACAAATCACTATAGCGCACTCCAAGTCTCAGTCTGTTATAGTCCTCACTGGTTGTTGCTAGTTAGCTCACATCCTTACTGGCAGGCAACTATCTCCCAACTGACCAACTTGGCATGTTTGACCTCGCTAAATGACGTCAACACTGACTGTTTAGGAAATACTGCTCTCTACAATTTCTCCATTGTTGCATAACATGTTAAGTTGGCTGTTGCCTCCCACTGGCCTGGGTATTGTTTGTATGGGAGCGTGTTTTGGTTGCCATAGAAACGTGTTTACTTGCCATTGCCTAACAACAGATACCTTTTCTGGATCTGCTATTCTTGCTTTGAGCCATCATGTCACAATATGATTTGAATGAAAATCGACATAACAGAAATCTCAATTTATACCTGGATATGGTATAATTGCCAGTCACAGTGGCCACACATTCTAAGGAATGCACCGTCTTCAATCACTTGAATGCTTGGATCGTGGGTTTGAATCCCACTCAAAGGCATGGATGTCTGTGTGTGCATTTATCTTGTGTTTGTGTTGTCATGTGTGTAGGCAGCGCCCTTGCGATGGGCTGATAACTCATCCAGGGAGTCCTACCATTTGTGTAAAAAAGATTATGAGGCTGAAGAAGAGGCCAGGGCCTAACAAAGGGCTGTAGTGCTATTGATGAATGAATGAATATGATATAATTATTATTTGGGTCAAGAAATTTGTGGTTGGTACAGCATGCAGTTTGTATGAATGAAACAAGAAATACAGCGTGCTTCATTGGAAATCTTTAAAAAGTACCAATAGATGGAAAGATTATATTATCTTCCCATCAGCAACTTCTGAAAAACAACCCAAAAGAATGAAATCAAGAAAAAATGCTTCTCAGATAATAAGAAGGATCATACTGCATCACCTGGAGCCCTATACCTTTTTGCTTACTCATACGTGCATCATGTGTGAGAAATTGTTGAGTGTGAGAATATCAGTCTCAAGAATTTGACAGATTACATGTTGTGAGCCCTCCCATATACAAAAAGTGGTTCTTGGAATGCCGTCTGTCAATATGTGTGGATAGTTGTGCACTTCAGTAGTGTCTGAATAGTTGGATGAATTTTATTCATGTTCTTTATTAGATAGTTTATCCATCATACATCACTGCACAGTGAACATGAATATTCTAGGTCAAAAAATAGGAGCCTATTAGATGTGTTCAAAATCACAAAACAGTGGTATTTTTTAAAGAAATGCTAATGATTTTGATTAAATTTCAGTAACTTAACAGTGACCATCTCCATAAATGAAACTGCATAGTTGATACCTTGAGGAATATGTGCATTAGGAACTTAAATGAAAAACGTCTGTTCTGTTAAAACCAGCTTTACCAGTTGGGTGTAATTCATTTTTGGGTTTTATTCAGTAAATAACAGCAGTTTACTGAGCAACAGTTGATTTCATTTCATAGATAACATAGTCAGGGTCAGTCATATATGAAGAAGTATGTGCATTGTCTATGCACTGGTTTTTATATTTCTGGTTGTGTAAGATTGACTTTATGCAATTAGATTACAGGGATCTAAACTAAACTGATTGGCCATAGGATACTGTGCAGCAATGTGCTTTTTGTGGGGGCAGTAACAAAGCTTCAAGTTCTCTAACTATAAGGACTTACTCGTATGTAACAACTGAACATTTCAGGACTTGGGTTATTTTGTTGTTCCAGTGTTCATTGCTGACATGGATCCAGGACGTGACTCCATCATCTACCGCATGACAAGTACCCGTATGAAGAAGGACAACTAGATTTGAGTTCACATTCCTGTGTTGTGCGTTGTTTCCAGTGTTCAGTATGTTACATGACGTGTCTTGTTTTCATAAATTGTAAATGTGTCACAGAAATTGTTATCTGATAAGAAGAAAATGGACTGATTGTTTCATATTGATATCAAATACCTTCAAAAAGGAAGGTTTCTGTGGTTTTAAGTTGCTGATACAGATTGTAAGGTTCTCTGGTACGTGGAGTAGCTTCCCCTAGTTAGACCATTGTTCTAGCAAGTAGGCCATCTTTCTTTCTTAGTGTATTTTCATGGGGCTGTTCAGAAAGTGAGCTGTTAAGAAAGCAAGCAATGACAAAAAATTATTATATACACGAAATATGTACGTACTTAAGCGACTTCTCAACATAGTCACCACCAGAACTCAGGCACTTGTCATATCGGGGAATAAGGTATTATATGCCTCTTTCAGAGAAGTCTGCCACCTGTGAGCTCAGCCACGTTTTGTATTACAAAACAAAAGAAAAAGTATGAGGCCATTCAGAACAAAAGGCATGGAATGCTGACATCTGGTGTAGTGCTCCTCCATGGCAATGTGTGTCTGCATAGAGCTGCTCACATTCAAGCACTGCTGGAGCATTTCAAGTGAGAGTTGCTTGACTGCTCATGTTATAGCCCAGATCTCACTGACTACCACCTGTTTACCTACCTGAAGAACTGGTTGGGATCACAGTGCTTCATCAGTAAGGAGGAGTTGATGGAAGGTGTTAGAACGTATGTGGCTGAGCTCACAGGCAGCAGAATTTTTTGACCCAGGCATACAAAAACTTATTTCTCGATACAAGTGTCTCATTTCTGGCAATGACTACGTTGACAAGTAGCTTAAGTATGTACATATTTTTTGTGTATACTACTTTTTCTTGTTTCTTGCCTGTTTTATTTACAGCTCACCAGAGGTTACTTTCCGAATAGCCCTCATAAATAATGCGTAATGGTAGAGTGAGCATATGTTAACTGTTTGAGCTCTGTGCTGAGTTGTTTGTATGTATGCTTATACCAAGAATATGCCTGTCAGTGGCATGTTGAACTTCCAGATCGTGTCAAAGAAGGTTCAGATTTGACCCAAATGGCACCACACACATTCCAGTTCCCATTAGTAGGGAGCAGCAGATATTGCATTAGTGTGACAGATTAGGCAGTGTGAGCTGGATCCTGCCATAGTGGCATGTCACATGGACCTTTACCCAGGTCTGCACAGATTCAGGATGCTGGGTTGCCATCATGCCTGCAGGATTCCTGATGGCAATCTTGAATTTCTTCTCTTATATTAGTACTAATACATGACCTCTCAGAGATAACACACAAAATAATTTCTTTCTTCCTTCATATCTATCTCCTTCCCTCTTTCGCCATTTTTGCTTTTCAAGTCCCTTTACCCTTATTGCTTTCTGAATCATTTCACCCTTATTGCTATCTCAACACTTTTATTTGTCCATCCTATTGAAATCCTTGGATCCTACCAGCAGATGGGGTAGATAGATTGGGATTTTCCCTCTAGCCTAGTAATGATGTGTTGCATGTCTCTGAGCGTGACAGGAACTGGCTGTTATTCATATGTAGGTGTTTCATTATCCTTTTGTTAATAAAAAGAAGCAAATTTCTAGCCCAAAGTATCTTGTTCTTTCTTCTAGCTCCTAATTTTTTTGAGGTGGCTTCTAGATTATATCAAATTTGTGCAGGTCTGGCTTTACCTTTGGTGATGTAAAGGATTAAGCATTTTATGCTCACAAACCTCAGTCTTCACCTGATCCCTTTACCAGGGATCATTCTTGATTTATCTTATCGGAAATGATAAAATGTGACACACTTCCGAAATGGATCCAATTACACCTTATTGAGGGGAGGCCAGATAGGTTTGGTTAAGGCTGTGCTTGGAGACATTGATTCACACAAACAGACCTTCCAGGTCCATACATTGGGAAGACATGAGATGTAAACCGACATATGATAAATATTTGAGATCATTGTGAGGGAGAGAGAAACATTGATCCTTTATTAAAAAAAATATGAAATACATTCTAACATTGCAGCAAGGTCAGGAATTTTGTGTTATCCATGTTTTAGTCTTGTAGTTTTATATGTGTTGGGGGGGAGGGGGCAGGGTCTTGGTCATTTGAAAGCAACAAATATAAATTGTATAATCTTGTAGCTTGCATCCTGTGGTAAATTAACTTCATAATTGCAGTATTTGTTTGAATGTAGTTGTATATTGTTCAGTTGTAAATATTCATTGTTCATAGTATCAGTCTGTAGATATTCTGTACAATAATGTAAATATTTAGTTACTCAAATAAAACACTTGAACAGATTGTTTTCTTGTTCATGCAGTGAACAGTCCATTGCTGTTAAGCTGATTTTTTTAATAATGTTATAACAGCATAACGCACGCAGTCGCGAGAACAAGACGCAACAGAAACACAATATACACAATAGGGAAGAAGAGCTCCAACAGAGTAGGATGAACAGGACTGGCGTAATAAGATACGACGTAGCGATCGGGAACCCTGAACAGTTTTAATATTTTTACGATTGACATTTGTCAATATATATGATGGACATATATTTTAGTTATTTTAAAGTGAAGACAAGGCATACAATGTACTAGTTTGACGTGAATTGAGTAGCACCTGAAGATGGCATTCTTATGCCGAAACATGTAGTGAAAGTGAGAGAAGAAGATAGATAAGTGTATGCACTGCAAGACGGAATAAACAAATCATGATTTTTTTAGATTACTGCATTCGATTGAACATACCCTCATGCTGTTGACTGGTCTATCATGTATCTGAATTATTTGTGGATTTCCTCAGAATCTCCAGGGAAATGGAGGGAAGGAAGGAAACTTGAAACCAGTCACAACTACTTCTACCCACAGCCTTCCCAGTTGTCATCCTGTAATTTGACACAATATGACATGCATGCACAGATGACAAAGCAACATTAAATTGCTATGAAACAGATGATACTGTCATCCTGAATGTGATGTAGTGTAGTCTTGTGGATACTTGCCACCATTTCTAAGGAACCTGCTGCCTCCAAATCACCGGTACCAGTGTATCGAACTACACTTGTTTAATTCGGTTAGGAAGATCTTCACCAAAGCTGTTAGGCAATTCCAATTTTCAACCATATTAATTCATAATAAAGGTAACTTTATGTGTGTCCATAAACTGACTTTTCCATCAATCCCATAAACCATTTCACAGATTTTTCTGGATTCAATATGGAAGACTTAAACCAAATATTGTCAGCCATACTGATCCAAAATAAAAACCTAACTAGTATAAGGGAGTTTTCCAGGTGTTCCTGAAACCCTTGCATAGATTTTGCTGCAGTTTGGTATGGGAGCCATTCACTAATCTGCAGCACGTTAGGCCCATTTATAGGTAAGCTTAAGAGCCCAAAGAAATGGCTTTCTTAATTTTGTGTACCACATTATGGAGCACATCCATTCCAATCCAGTTGTTTTGGCTGTACATCACATTCTTTTGGAAGAAGTTTCCTACATATTAGAGGAACTTGCTCATTAACTTGTGTTGTTTTGAAGGATATATATTGAATTGAATTGAATTTATTTACATTCTGTAAATCCTAAGCAGGTTAGTATCTTTGGATACAGAACAAGTCAAAAGGTTACATACGTAAGTACAGGCAATTAAAAATTAATTTAACTTA